GTCAGACAGTCTGCATTCTGTTTCAGGGTTCCCCAAGAACATGGAGCTGAGACGTAACAAGTAAGAGAGCCACACTTTTCCTGATCCTCCTCTTGCTACTGACATACTTGTATAAACCCATCTTGTTACCCTTCACATCCCTTGCTAGCTGCAATTCCAATTGCTCTTTGGCCTTCATCCCTGCATGCCCAAGCAATGCTCTTATACTCCTTCCTAGTTATTTGTCCAAGTTTCCACTTTTTATAAGCTTTCTTTTTGTGATTTAGTTTAATGATGTTCCCTGCTAAGCCAAGCTCATCTTCTGCTATACTTGCTAGTCTACCTGTGCATCAGCATGTTTTGTTCCTGCACTCTCAGTAAGACTTCTTTAAAGTACAGACAGCTCTCCTGGACTCCTCTCCTCAGACTGGCTTCCCAGGGGATCCTGCCCATGAGTTCTGTCACTGGTAAGTGTTGTAGGGCTTGCTTCCCCACTTGACCAGTGCCCTGACCCACAGTGACATCAAGGTAGGACCCCAAATTAGCACCACCTGCATGTTCTGGTTGCTGTTCCTGCTCGCCCATCACGACTTGATGTTCTTGTTCTTGGGAGACAGTTCCCAGCAGGTGGCCTGTGAGATTCCATGCCTTGGCTTCTTCGTGGGGCTCCAACCTGCCCTTTACCCCACCCTTACCATATCAACAGCTGAGATGGACATCAGTCACTTATAGGTGACCTTCTCATCTGTGAAGTTCTGCCTCTGAGAGTCGGTGACCTCCTGGCCATGAGTTCCTTGTAGGCTGTCCTTTGTCTGTGGACTGTGGCCTCCACAACTAAACTTGGCTCAGTCTTGCAGTAAAAGGAAACTTATGAATAATGTCAACAGAAAACAATCAGCATTTGCTGGTGCACCCCTGGGTCTTATCTCCGAGGCCCACAGGCCCCTGGCTGGGGCCTGTTGACTCCCCCTTTTCAAGAGCTGCCTTGCAGGCTCAGCAGCTCCCCACTGCACCCCTTGCAGCCATCCTGTGGGGTTCTCCTATGGGTCCCCACCTCTTACCACCTCGGCCTCATCAGACCTGAGACTGGATCTGTCCAGGTTGCTCCTGCCAGTGCTCCTGTCACTCGTCTTGGCAGCCCCGCTCCACTCTTCACTTTGTGTGGGCCCCAGGCCTGTCATAGCCCCACAGTCCCACACAGCCAAGTGCTTCACTACCTGGCATGGTTCCTGGCTTCAGCCCCTCCTTAGGGGTTCCCTGCCAGCGTGGCACTTCCATGGTACTCGGCCCATTCCTCCCGGCCCCAGTGCTGCCCTCCTCTCCCTTTCTGTGCCCTGCAGCACTCTCTGGGCCTTCTTCCAGGACTTCTCCAGGGTATGCCACTGCCTCCCCTTCACTACGCTCAGTGATGTTGCCAGATCCTCCTCCTGGGGTGCCTCTCAGGCATACTGCTGCCTCTCCTGCACCACACTCCACGGCATTTCCCGGAATTCCTCACAGGGAGTCTCCTGGGTGTGCTGCTGCCTTCCTGTGCCACGCTCTGCAGCGTTTCCTGGTCCTCCCTCCTCCCAGAGTGACTCCTGGACATGTGGCTGCCTCAGCATGCCATTCCTCTCCTTCAGCAGCATCCCACAGCGTTCCCTTGATGCCTTGCTCTTGCTTCCCCATACTGCCTCCAGCTGTTCTCCCGGCCACCTGTTCAGCAGCCCACTTCTCTCTCTGGCCCTGCCCTCTCTCCTCACTGATTTGCAGGCTCAAGCTGCTCCAAAGATGATGCATCTACACCTGCCATCTCAGTGTCCACCTACAGCTGCTGCTCATTATTTCTTCTCCAGTGAGTGACTGGGAAAGTCAGGATGGGCTTTCTCTTCCCCTTTCACAAGTTCCCTAAGTGATTCAAAGTCTTCTTTTCTAAAGTCCAGGGTCTTTACTCTGCTGCTCTCCATCCTTCCTTTCCTCAAGATCCTGAACTCAGTCATCTCATGGTCACTGCTGCCCACACTGCCATTCAGTACTACATTCCCCACCAAGTCATCCCTGTTTGTGAGCAGCAAGTCAAGAAGATCATGGCCCCTAGTTGGCCTCTCTAGCACTTGCACCAGGAAGTTGTCTCCAATGCTCTCCAAAAACTTGGATTGCCTGTGCACTGCTGTATTGCCCTCCAAGCAGATGTCAGGGTGATTGACAGTGGCAGTCCATCTGATCTAGAAGAGTCCCACATGCAGTCCCCCCACTCATTTCTCCTTGTACGTTCCAGACCTAGAATATGTCCCAGGGTCATCCACAATAGCTGCTCTCAGATATGCCAGAGAACAAGATCACAGAAGGACACCACAGAGCATCCTTATCAGCGCATTTCTTTGTCTGGAACATGCATGTGGGACCTGGGTGTGCTTGGGGCCCTCAGACTGAAGGAGATTACCACTGTGCAGACCAGCTGCACTATCTGACAAATTCTTTTGATCGTTAGCAGTTCATCTTCAGGGTAGACATATTTGTGTTTCGATTCAACCATTTATGTAAGCATATGCTCAACTTTAGGCTTTAATTTTTAATATGCTTTAATCCCATTGACTTCAGTTCAGCATGACCTGAAGTGTTTTGCTGAATAAAGATTAATCTAAATTTGTGCTTAAATCCTTTGCTGAACTGGAATCAAAATGGTCCTATGCTGGGCAGATGTGGTTAAAATTCTTAAAATCCCAGCACCTACTCTGTTCTCTGAGCAGTTGTTTTCTCTTGAGCAGCACTGGTCTAGGTGCCTCTTGCAAGAAAAATGTAGAAGTGCTTTTCCTGTCAGGCCACTTTCCAGTAGCATTTTCAGGAGTTCTGTGTGGACTGCCCTATCTGCCATTTGGTCCTAGCCTGTATTTGCCAACACTAGCTTTGTTGTCTCCCCTCATGCATTAGCACCCAACTGGATACAACAGTGTTTGGTCATGTATACACAGGGGAATCAGAAGAATCAAAACTGGGATAAATCCATGTATTATGTTCATGTCCAAAATAAGCTATCAGTTTTCCATGTGTTCTTAAAGCATGCCGTGGTATCACAGACTATTTCCATTGCAAACGAGAACTTGGAATGGAGATAACTTGAAATTATCACTCTTCCCTTCCCATCAGCTCCTTTCCATGTGCCTCTAGTATAAGTTTGCCCCCTTGTTGCTGAAGGAGCAAGGAAGAGAATGTAGAAAACCAGCTGCTTGATACAGAATTTTTATTTCCCTTTCAAGTGTATTAACATCTCCTGCCTTCCGCCTCCTGCATTCTTCACCTCTCAAGTTTTGAAAGTAGGATGGCTACTTAAGTTTCTCTGCTTTCTTTTCATGCTGTCAAATAAAAGCCGAGCTGCCAAAAATATACTTCTTCAATGCTTGAGATTTCCTACACCTGCACAAGTGGAGAGACTTGTGCTGAGAAAGCAAATAAGGATCCACAGGGAATAACCCTATTGCTTCATACAAAAAAAGAGAAAAAAAGAAAAACCCACAACCTGAAGCAGGTGCACATGCTTTTCTACATGAACTATTCCTACAGGATGAAAGTTAACCTCATATTTGTCAACACTCAGGTTTATTATTTATCATTAACCTCCATGTTAATGACTTAATTGCTTCTCATCTCACTTGAATCAAGAAAAAATTACATTTTTTTAAAGCAGCATGGTGGGGTTTTTATTCAAATGCAAAATAAAAAGCAAATGCCAAAATAAATCCAAATTGTTAAATCTTATCTTACTGCTGAACATATGCTCCTTCTTGTTCTTCTGTCTGCTAAACCCAGATTTGTCACCAAACTCTTCCTTTTCTGTTTTTGTGTCTTGCTTAAAATCGTGCCACATTTTGTTGAAGGAGGACAAATGTTACATGTAGGACGTGTTGTTGATAAAAGACACATTATATTCTTCATGGTCTGGAAAAACACTGATGACATTTGAATGCTAGAATCAAGAAAGGTTCTTGTGCAGCGCTCTGTGCGCTATCCTGTCAATCCCAATAACACTGATAAGAATGTAGCAGGTCAAACCACATTAAGAATGGACATTCTGACATGTTCTTTTATGAAAAAGCTAATAAAATGCAATTACTGTCCAGCTTTGATTCAGAAGCCTTAAAAGAGTTCATTTTAAAATTCAGTTTTATTGCACTGCACGCTACCTGAGACTGAAGCATTTGTTTTATTGTTTTAATTCTCTGAAACTGAATTAAACTACCTGTTATATAGGTTCATACAAATTATGCAGGTCAGTTGATACAAATAAAATCTATAACATAGACCAAGAGGTGGATACTATTTAAACTATGTGGCAAGATACGATCATCTTCCTCACATTTATGTGTCTGGCCTCTATCAGAAAGCTGACCCTTTATTAGGCATTTTTCAAGTGAGAGAGTATAGAGAGGTTGTATGGGTGAATGCACCACTTAAGTCAAAGCGGGATTTTCATATGGTCACAGCCTTTATGCTGGCCTGGTCCATACAGATAAATTTCAGCCTGGTTGTAGAGGAACAATACAAGTCTTTGTGCTCTACTTCATTAGCCCAGGAGGTTGAACAAGGGATGACAATGATGCAAATTTTGGAAGGATATGCACCAACTAGAAATGTGAATCTGAAACCAAGTTCTGGCCTTGCTATTATGAGGCATACTAATGAGAAGGAGCAAAATGGTGACAACTGGAAGAAGATTTCCTGAGCCATCCTGCTAATATCACCCTGGCACTATTGGGCATGTTTGTTATTGCTGTCCCTGAAAAAGACAGCTTTGTGCCTGCAAATGCTTACTGTTGAACCCTGTTTTCATGCTGTTTGCATCTGCCTTCACAGTGCAGCACCGCACAATGTCCCCATCCTGGTCTCTTTTTCATAATGGGAAGGAAGAAGCTCACCATTGTTGCTTACTCTTTTAGTGCACATACATGAAACAGGCCATCCAGCAGGGCTAAGGGGGTAAAAGGAACACACCCATTAATATACACAACATTTAATATTCCCTATTTGCTTTTATTTGATTTCAGAATGAATACGTACTTAGCTTTTTCCTGGATGGGTCGAAAAATGACACATTGGAAGAATCCTCATTTGTTAATCTGGGTATGTAAATTGTTAGTTTTATTTTTGTTCTTTAACAGGAAATGTCCATGGTGACGTTGAAGGCTGTAGTGCAAATGTGGGTCCAACCAAATCCAATGGTAAAGGTTTCTGTGCAGAAGTGTTTTGTCATAAATGATCACCAGTAATGTGATGCACTTTTTATTTCATAGCCTTTAAAGGTTTATTCAAATATTTTAGAAATATAACCTGCCACTCCATAGGGCATTTTACTTCTCCCTTCCACCTAAATATTTAGATACATGGAAATTAAACTGTGCCTTCTTTTTAAACAGAAAATTTCTCTTAAATAACAATCTTGGTGGGAAGGGTTTGAGGCATTATATAGTATAATGTATATGCCAAGATATGGGAAGAATAATGTCTGCTAGATATATCCTGTCAGGCAGAGAGTTTCATAGTGAGTAGGGGTTGTAAGTAGCAGAACATTTGGTTAATCTTGCTATGTATTCATTATTAATGATAGCTGTGGTATTACAATATGCCATTCACTCAGCAAATGACTTTACATTGCTATGTTAACCAGCCTAGGTTTCCAGCTTCCTCCCTTTTCTGTTCTGCATCCCCACCAAGAGGCAACATATATTTTGCTGTTATCTAATGCTAATTCTGTAGTAGTTCATCTTCTGCAGGCTGTAGTTACACTTTGCACCAGAACAATTCCATCAGCTCTATGCTCCCGCTCCAAAGTATTCAGCTCTGTGCATTTCATAACCCAGCCCAACAGTACCATCTCCGTTCCGTGTCCATTGTGTTTCACTCTGCTTTACAAACTCAAGCTGTTGTCCTTGCCTATGCTGGCACAAAGTAAAGATAACTGACTGAGCCTTGTCCTGAATGTTTCCCCTTGTGCAAGGGGGTCTTAGGCTAGTGTAAAACTGTCATTGTGGTTTCTAGTACATCCCTTGCCTGCAGCACAGGACTATAACCACGATGTCACTGTACCCCTCTTAACAGTTTTAGAAACTGCTTAATAGTTGCTGCAGTTTACACTAAGGATTGTCCCAAGACAGCCCAGAATTCAAGCTAGAATTTACGAATTCATGAACTCTCTCTCTCTCTGTGGCTTCTCTTACCATACTATATGACTATCATGCAATCATTAGCAATCCCCCATTTTACACATGTGTTACATTTTAGGTATTGTAATAGGGGCTAGGTGGCTAAATACCTTTTGAGGGTCTGTGCTTAAGTGTCCTTGTGCTTCAGTTTTCTATGTGTAAACAGTGACATGTTGAAGATAAGGGCTATAAAAAATTGCAAGGTATTAATGTGCTGTAGTAGTAAATTCAGAGTAGACCATGACTTTTCCAAGGTCACATTCAGTGCCAGAGAACTGAACCCAAGTCTCCTAGCACCCAGTCTGGTGCCCTCATCGATTGACGATATAGAGCCACGTCAGGTGTAGTCATACATTATGGAGCCAATGCACAATAGTTAAAGAGAAAAATATTTTTCTGTGGGTAAAAAAAAAAACTTATTTACTGAGTATTTGGTGAGCCAGTTAGTTTACTGTGTAGATATTTTTGTGGTGAAGTAAAGGAGACAAAGACTAGCTTGGGGGTGGAGGGACCATGAAAGATGTATAAATTAAGATGCAAGGCCTGCTAGGCCTTACATGTTGTTGTAGAGAGACATTTTCCTTCAGGGGGGACTCTGCTTTTAAGATGCATAGCCATCTCTTGTTACCCTAAAAAGCAAGCAGAAAAAAAATCCTAATTTTTAAAAGATTTGAGTAGTCAGAAAATCAGTTAAGGTCTGAGCCTAAGGAAGTGAATGTATTTCCTTTTTGTTTTAATTTATGGGGTCAAACCCTGAGATCCCTACTCAGCTCTGAAGGGGAACCTCCTCCTACTTGCACATTAGCTGCTGACAGACATGGAAAAAAAAAGTGTATGCCCAGAAGATGCATCAAGTTAGTTCAACACAGCTCCCTAGCATCTGCACAGATTGTGTGCTTCAATGAGGCTTTTTGGCACTTTTGTCTAAAGCTGTTTCAATCAGCTATTAAAGTGCCAAAAAGCCCTGCTGAAGCGTACGATCTATACAGACGTTGGGTGAGCCAGGTCAAACTAATGCGACACCTCTTCTGGGCATGCACTGTCTGTGGCACAGGGACACACCAAGCTGAAAGTAAAATGCTGTTTTGGGGGGGGGGGGGGGGGGGGCACCCTT